CAGGCACAAGCCCAAAGGCAATGAGAGACTTCTGTCACTGAAGAGAAGCACCTGAATTTTCCAGGAAGTTGCCAAGTGACCTGGCATCACCAAGGCTTTGCCAGGCCTGCTTTGGGGGAAGAGGGCCAGCAGAGTCAGTGCTTCCTGGAAAAAGAGGCACTGCAGTTGACAAAAAGTCACTCAATTCACTCTGGCCCTGGAATAATCTGATGATGCCTCTGACCATTTCCCATTGCACGGACACACACACAATTAATAAAGTTCCCTTAAGCCGATTATAGTTTACATGCTTTGCAAAGGGCTGGATGAGCACAAAACCGATCGGCAACGTGTCCCTGGAGTCTCTAAAGAGACTTCACCTCTCACCCTCACAGTCAAGAGTAAGGCTGAAAAGTGATTTCTCCCCATTCTGATCTACAAGTAGACAGGATGCAGAGCACCTGCTGAAGTCAGCTTGAACCCACGCCCATTCACTCCATCCACTTGGAGAAAGGGGCCTGCTGCAAATGGTGCTGGAAAATACAGTATTAACTGTGCTGACCACCTCCAGCTGGAAAGACCGTGTCCAAATTTAGCCACCCTAAAATATGCAGTTTAGCAAGTTGGTAGATCTAGGCCAGCTTACTCCTGGTATTTTCTCAACTTTGGGTAATATGCATTCCATGATAAGGAAATGTTTTCTTGCTGATTTGATGTGCCTGTGTGTCTTCTTTACACTGTAGGTTTGTTTATTTGTTTTGTGCTGAGCTTGTGGCAGATTTAGCCATGTGCCTTTAGAAACAGCTGAGAATTCAGATGAAAAAGCTCAATCCCATCCTATACAGTTTGACAACAGGGATCGGAGATTCACATGGTGTGTGGGAAACCCTGCCTTCCAGGACAGGTGAGCATACCTGACTTGTGCGATCATGAGTCATTTTCTCTACCAAGACTAATAGAAGTTATTCTGAGACTACAAAAATTTTTCTTTTGACTTTCAGACCACAAGCCACAATTTCTTCAAGTGTTTTTTTTTTTTTTTTAAGATTTTGTTTTTCTATATGGACCATTTTTTAAGTATTTAGTGAATTTGTTACAATATTGCTTCTGTTTTTGTGTTTTGGTTTTTTGGTGGTGAGGCATATGGGATCTTAGCTCTCCAACCAGGGATCAAACCCTCACTCCCTACATTGGAAGGTGAAGTCTCAACCTCTGGACCTCCACAGAAGCCCCTCAAGTAGTTTAAAGATGCTAACATCCATCACATTTTGTGTATTACTTTGAGTATAGTACATTCATCTGTGGGTTCTTTCTGAAAGTGTGAAACTCAACCAGTACTATTGACAGCCATGTCCATTTATACACCATATACTTTGTACCTGTAGGGCAAGATTCAAGTTCTAATTCATCCCTGGGTTTCCACTAAGAAGAACAGTGCCTCTCAGAGTAAGCGCTCAATGTAGGTTTGTTAACATGAAAAAATAATTCGCTTCCCCCATCTAGGCTGTTTTTCCCCTCCAAGTTTTCCCTTGCAGCTTTCACCCTCTAGGACTGTGAAGTTCAGGTGCATATGAAGGCGAAAACCTTTTGGATATAACAGTAGCTTAATTCAAAGTTCTCCTTGAACTTGTCACTTAGTCTAGAAGCTATTCAGGACTTTAGCCCCAACCAGCTACTCTACACCAATCTAGTCAAATAGCCAAAGTCAAATGCCAGGATGCTAGATGATTAACTTTAATAAGGAAAGGTCAGGAGACAGCACCAAGACATTCAGTCTCAACAACAGTGACAAACACCCATATGTGGGACTTTCTAGGCAAGCACTCAGCTGAAAGCTCTTACAGTAACTGTCCTTCTATCTGGAATTCATAATATATACAGATTAGTGGTTTCTAAAATTTCAGACCTCATTCCCTTCTCAATTACATCTCCTTTTTCTTCTGTCTGCCCCACTGCCAACATTCTATCTGTCCAGTCAAAGCAAGCTCCTTGAGGGCAAGAGACATCTCTTGTTGTGAGCCCATTCTAGGGCATTTCTTAACACTGGCATAAACCTCAAGGTCTCATTCATCTGCTCTCCAGATCTTTGGCCTGAAACACACAATATTTTGCCATTCAGTGTGTGGTTTACTTTCCAATATCATGCAGACATCTCAACACATCAGAAACAGAAGTGCAAGCAGCAAGAACGCTTTCCTTCAAAGGCATTCATGCAGTTCTCATCAGTGTCCTGCAACGAACCAAACTCCCAGCCTCAACTCTCCCCCAGAGAGTCTTCTCTCGTTACATTTCCTCATCGGGCAATTTGGAGTTGTGAAACCTGCAGAGTGGCACAGCAGGGAGGCAGTGAGTCATGAGAGGGAGCCAAGCGATTCTGGGTCCCAGCGCCAGTGCCCTCAACACTTGGGAGCTGGGTGGCCCAGGACGGCCAGTGAGTTTTTGCAGTCTCCATTTTCTCAACTGGAAAACGGAGCTCATCCCACCAGCTTCACAGAGATGTTGGGACTAAGATAGGTACTATCTAAAAAGCATCTGATACATACAATAATCATGCTGTATGCTGTATATATATTACATAAAAGATTTTTTAAAGCTTACAGTAAGTTCTCTTTCAGTTAGCCTGTCATCACAAGAAAGACTCAAAAATGATGACAGTAACAAGTATCTTCACTCTAAAAGAGAAAATATTTGAAAGAAGAGGAGTAAGGGAAAACCAGGATGAAGACACTACCCCCCCCCCACTGGCCCCAGTGTGCCTTGAGCATGCTGCCATGTGGACCTGAGCCACAGTACCTGAAGTCTGTCATTTTCACAGGGCCAAGAATCCCAATGGGATAAAGAGTCCTTAAAACAATGTCATGAAATCATCATCATTTTTTTTTTCTGGCCACATTATACAGCATTTGGGATTTTAGTTCCGTGACCAGGGATGGAACCTGTGCCCAAGCTTGGAGTCTTAACCATGAGATCATCATTTCATATGCTATCCATGCCTGGGCTAGACTGTAGCTTGTAGAGCGGGAAAAATAAAAGACATTGCTTCCCCACCCTGGTGACCCCTGTCCACCCTCTCAGTTTTCCTTCAGGACAAAGGGGTCAAGCCCAGGCCACTCCATGAACTGCAGTGGAACTTTTCTATCTTAATTAGCAAGAGAATAAGGACTCTCATTTTAGTTAATATCTCAAGATTGCATCTAAGCTCCACTATAAATTACTTTAAAAAAGGCAAACTTACTTTCTCAAGTCTTCAGTTGCAAATCCAGTGCACAATTTTTTAGGTCAACCAGATTTAAAGATTTCAGAAAAGGAGCTGGGCTCTTTCTCTGGAGATTAAAGCAACCTATGCATTGATTACACCACGACCTTACTTTACGCATCTCATGCAGAAATGTAAAGTCAATGAAATACTGCACAGATCTAAGACTTAATCCAGGAGTGGACTCCAAGGGGAGCATAGGTGTACAGCAGTAGATCTAAGACTGACAAGGAGGCAGCTTGAGGATATACCTACCTCCACTGATATTAGGCTTGATGTTTCCCAGGACTTAGATGGGTTTCTCTTCACACCAACTGTCCAATCCATGCTCACTGCTTTCAAGGACCCTCCCAGCCTACTGTCCACCATCCATCCACCCTTGTGTCAAGGACTATAGCAGTGCCACTGCTATAGAATGGGCAGAAAAGGGTCTTTGAAGGGAGCCTGGGACCTGCCTCATTATAAATCCGAACAGCACCAAACTTTTCTTTAGAGTCTCTCTTCCCCTTTAAAACACACCCTCGCACAGGGAACCAGACTGTCTGTAGGATGAATTCCCAGGCCATAGCAACTGCAGTGCCCTGGGATCTAAGAGATCTTGGTTGGCCGGGCATTAAGCCCTTTTCGGGAAGGAGACAGCAAGCCTGCCTCTCCCTGACACGGCCTTGCCATGAAAACAGGCTCTCGATTTTTTGTTTTTGTTCGGTTTTTAGCTAAGAATCTCCATCCTCTCGGCGGACACAGGAAGATAAGCACGGATGCTTACGGTGGCTCGTCAGTTTGATCTCAGATCAATTTTCTTCTTCCACCTAACTCATCCCATCCCCCCGCCAACATTTGGAAAGGCGGGGAAGGGATGTCGGGAAGTTGGGGACAAGTTTTGGGTCGAAGGTGCTTTCAGGCTTTGGCCAGATAAGTGATGGAGAGAACTAGCTACATTCAGGGCACGCCCTGGAGCTGAATGCAGCCCTGGTGCAGAAGGAAGCAGCTCCACCCTCCACGCTTACCTGCCCGGCCACAGGTAAGCGAAGGAAGGGGAAAAACGGGGGGAAATTCAGCTTCCTTTATGGTGGGCTCTCCCCTTCCCCCACTCAAGTGTCAGCGCGCTGGCCGCCTGGCTGGGAGCCGGCGCTTTGGGGGCGCCTGAGAGTGGGTCTCAGGGTTCCTTTTTGGGCGTGCCGAAACCGGGACCCACCCAGCCAAGGCGGAGAGAAGGGGGAGGGGGGCCAGGCGCCCGCTCCGCAGGCGAGGCGCCGAGGTACCCGGCGTTCTCGGGGCCGGCGCGCCCGGGTCCCGCGCTCTCCCACTGCAGCAGCATCCCGACATGACACTGCAGCTGCAACCAAGCGGCGGCCGCCGCCAGCCTCGGCTCCCCGGCCCCACACCCCGCGGAGGGGGGAGCGGCTGGTGGCCATGGGGGTGCGCCGAGGGGATGCGGGCCCCGGAAGGGCGGAGGAGGTGAAGAAACCCTGAAATGCGCAGGAAGCTGAGTGGCCATCTCCAGCGCCTCTCCCGGCGCAGCCAGACTGCAAGGAAAACAATTCGCCTTCATTCCGGAGTCGGGCTGAGCTCTGCGGCTCCCCCAGAACGACCCGATCCAAGCCCTCGGGTCTGTTGCCTGCCCTCGCTCGCAACCTCCCCCGCCCCGCACCCAGCACCCCCGAAGCCCCGGCCCCGGGACCCGCCCCGCTCTCAGAGCCCGGCGTCCTCGGCTCCCGCGCGGCCGCCGCCCCCGGCTCCCGTCTACCCCACCCCGAGCGCTCACCAGGAGAAGGGAGCCCGCGATCATCGTGGCTCCGGCGATGCGGCTGCAGGAGGCCGGGGCGGTGCTGCTGCTCGTGAAGGTCCCCATGGCTGAGCCCGGGGCTCGCAGGGCGCCCGGGGCGCGTGGCCCCCCGGCAGCTTGAATCGGCGGCTGCTTCTGCCCAGCGCCGCATCCACCGCCGCCTCCCGAGCCGGGAGCCCATCTACCTCCAACACCCCATGTGCACTGCGGCAGCCGGACGGCCGGACACAGGAGGGAGGCGGCGAGCGAGGCTCCGGGGGCGCTTAGCACCTGCCCAGCTGCGCGGCTGTCCGGGCGGGGAGAAGCAGCCGCTGCTGCAACCCGCACCTCCCCGCGCTCTCCTCCGACAGCAGCTGCGGAGAACCAGGGAGGAGGGCTGGGCGCGAGAGAACGAAGGAACAACTTCCCATAGCGAAGCCTCCGGCCGCTGCCAACCACCCTCCTCCGCTGCCCTGACCGGCCGGCGAGGGACTGAGTCGGGTGGCCGCCGAGCGCGGGGAAACACGTGGTGGCGCCGAAGGGGCGGGGAATCGGCCCTTTGTGATGTCATCGCGAAGGAGGCCGGGCTCTTTGTGCGAGCAGAACCGAGAAGGCGGTCCAGAACAAGCAAGGAGGTGCAGGATGCCCCCTGCCGTTCGCTGAAGAACTTGCAGCTGCTTTCTGACCCAGGGAAAAACGTTGCGAAGGTATGTGCACCCTTGACCCAAATTTCCCTCTTTTTACTAAGATGATTCTCAGTAAGTTATTTTCTGTAACAGACGCCTCTCTATCGTTTCTGGCTCGATGAGTAAGACCAGAAAAAAAGCAAAAAGCATTCAGATCAACGGTGTGCCATAAAGAGACCAACGAGTTGGTTCCCAAACTTAGCTGCGCTTTAGAATCACCTGGAATGTTTAAGACAAACTTTGATGCCTGCTCCCACCCTAGAAATTCTGCTTGAATCGGAATAGAATGTGGTCTGGGCGTTGGGTTGTTTTCGTTGTTGTTGTTGTTGTTGTTTTTCACTTCTCCAGGTGATTTGGGGAGATTTTGGAGCAAAATTTGAAATCCTCTGGGTTAGTGAATGCAATTAAGGAAATCCAAACTAAAGAATTCCAAACCTGGAGTCCACAGAAGTTGGATCCATAGATGGTCTTCCAGGGGCCTTGGAAACCCTGAAATATGTGGGCAGGTGCATTTTCCTAAATAAAAGATCCAGAGCTCTGAATCAGTTTATCACAGAGATAAGAAACACTCTCCCTCCAAAAACATATTAAACATTTTTGACTTGAGTTCCAAATGCCTTTGTGGGACGTGGGTGGGTAGAAAGGGAGTTAACATACTGCCTCAGAAGTAAGAGCAGCCAGAGCATTCCTGTGCATAGTTGGCATCTCCTGCATTTCTGAATGTGAGTGAGGACCTGGCATCCCTTTCATCCCTTTCGCTGTCTCACCTGGGGGGAGGCAGAGTCTCCTGGCAGCGCCACCATTTCTGGTGCAGTGTCCATCTTCTAGGTCCTGACAGCATGTGTGTGCTCAGTTGCTCAGTCATGTCTGACTCTTTTCAACCCTGTGGACTGTAGCCGGCCAGGCTCCCCTGTCCATGGAATTTTCCAGGCACGAATACTGGAGTGGGTTGTCATGTCCTGCTCCACGGGATCTTCCCCACCTAGGGATCGAACCTGTGTCTCCTGCATCTCCTGCGTTTACAAGCAGATTCTTTACCACTGAGTCTCTACCAGCACAGGGCACACTATACTGAAATTATCTCTTTGGCCATCTGGTTCACACCACTCATTCATGAACTCTGTGGTGCTGGACTTCTCCTTTCCTTGACCCCTTCTACTTAAAGATAATACGCTTTCTCAATTATCTGCTTCAAGACTCAATACGGTACCTCTGAAGGTAACCTACAAGGGAACGGCGCAGCCGCCCGGCTAGTTCAGTCGGTAGAGCATGAGACTCTTACAAGGGAAAGGCGCCAACTATTTGTTTTCTTATTAAAATCTTGTGCTTTGGCCTTTGTACTATGCACACTTGAAAGATGCTAAAAATTAATCTGAGGATTAATTCCAATCCATTCTTTCAAACATCTGCCAGTAAAGAAAATGATTGTCCGTAAATATTAGAGCATAATGTGTACCGTCTGGTGAAAATCAAAGTTCTAGGAAACATTACTACTAAATATGGAATTTGGGGGAGAGGATGATGTTTGTGATTGAATTTCTCAATCTAGTTCCAGAAGGAGGGAGATGCATTGTATCTCCATAGATAACAGCTTCAATTATTTCTTCAAAACTTCAAAATGACTGGGCAGTGCCATCATAAGTCTTGTTTATGGAATTCCCTGATGGTCCAATGGTTAGGACTCAGCACTGTTATGCAGGGGCTTGGGTTCGACACCTGGTAAGGGAACTAAGATCCCATAAGCCACCTGACAAGGAAAAAAAAAGTCTTGTTTAAAAGAAGTTGGGGGACTTCCCTGGTGGTCTAGTGGTTAAGAATCCACTTGCCAGTGCAGAAGATGAAGATTTGATCCCTGGTCCGGGAAGCTTCCACGTGCCTCAGAACAACTACCCAGAATATAAGACTACTTTTCCCAGTCTCCAGTGAACCTACATATGACTGAATGTCTGGCCAAGCAGAATGGCCGTTCATGTCTTCTGGGAAGTATTCTCCCTGGCTTAATTGTCCATCATCCCTCTCATTCAAGGTCATGAAGACCTGCTATTTCTCTCCAAATTAATTGTAGTTTAATTTTGTCTCTGACATTTTTTTTCCTCCTTGCTCCCACTCCAGTATTCTTGCCTGGAGAATCTGAGGGCCGGGGAAGCCTGGTGGGCTGCGGTCTATGGGGTCGCACAGAGTCGGACACGACTGAAGTGACTTAGCAGTGGCAGCCGCAGCAGCTCCTCTTCTATACCCCTTCTACTCCTGCCCAGACGATTACACAGGCTTCATCATTTTTGTCTCATGTTTTGCCTGGACCTCTCAGTCCTGCAAAAGAAACTCTTCTTAACATCCTAAGGATAATGAACATTTTAGCACCTAAATCTGATTATGTCCTTCTCTCACCAAAAACCCAACAAATATTCCTCATTACTCTCAATTTGACATGCAAAGGCCTAATAAAACCATTCATTCTGATCTCGGTTTATAGTTCAATCCTCCCCATGGCTGCAAGTTGAGTAAACATATACAGATAAGGCACTTGGAGCCTTTACTTCCTACGTCCAGTTTCATTCCCACTGCCTGCCAGTCCCTACAAACCCTAGATTCTTCATGCTAATTCCGCTAGATCATTGTGTTTCCTATCTACCTTGTCTTTGTTATACTTCCGAGTCTTTGTTAGGTTTTGTTTTCTTTTCAATTCACCTCTGCTTATTGATTTCCTATGAATCTACCCTTTGAGACCAACCTCAAGTGGTACCTCATCTAAGAATGCTTTCCTAACATCTTCTTTCACCTTCTATACCCTTATATGGAAAGACACTTGTTCCTTCCTCAAGATTTTAATTCTACATGTCTCTGTTATAGTGTATATGACATGACACTAGTTAGTTTTCCTGTCTGTGTTGTTGGCCAAATTTTGAGCTCTATGGACCAAAGTCTATGTCTTAATCATCTTCTATCTCCGTAGTCAAGATTCAAGATATTGACCTGGCTCAATAAATGTTTGTCGAGTGAAACATAATTGAAAAGTTTGACAAACCATGGAACAGTTAACACGCCTGATGTACCTTTTCCTTTTCCAAGCCTTAAATCAAACATCCTGAGCTGTGTTATACAAATCATAAAAGGTTTAATTTGTGTTTTGTTAAAATGCCATGTCCTGGACTTGGGTTTAAGTGTTTTGTTCTCAGCTTTGTTTCTTTAAACTAGCTCACTTAAGAACTTGTTCTTGGGGACTCCCCTGGCCGTCCAGTGGTTAAGATTCTGCACTTCCGATGCAAGGAGAGGGATTGATTCAATCCCTGGTCAGGGAACTAAGATCCCACATGCCGTATGACACAGCCGAGAAATTTTTTAAAAATAAATTTAAAAAAGAACTTGCTGTTCTTTGGCTTAAGAAGGAATATCAGCCATTCGGCAGCACATTGCGATATTAAGCACATGGGCATGATTTGATGAAGTCTCCACAGAGACATTCTACAAAGAAGGCATTCTTGCTTAAGATCAAACGGAAATAGAATTGCAAAGTAGGCATGGTTCTGAAAGCTTCCTTCTCTCTTGGATAGTAAGAGAGGGATCATTTGATAAGATAAAGTAGCCAATCCTTTGAAGGTATAATACCTTTGTTTCAATCTTGGGGACAGTGAGGTAATTAAATTAGCTTCTTTTTCACCTGGAGCACTGTGAAAGGTGGCATTGACCTGGAATTGTCCATCATTCATGTGTGATAGGAGTTCTCACCTGTAATGTCCCCATTTTGCTATATGCTTTTCCACACAGGGCCCCAAATAATTTCTCACTTCACGGGTGAGTTGATGAGAAAGTTCAGTTCAGTTCAGTCGCTAAGTCGTGTCCGACTCTGCAACTGCATGAATCGCAGCACGCCAGGCCTCCCTGTCCATCACCAACTCCTGGAGTCTACCCAAACCCATGCCCATCGAGTGGGTGATGCTATCCAGCCATCTCATCCTCTGTCATCCCCTTCTCCTCCTGCCTCCAATCCTTTCCAGCATCAGGGTCTTTTCCACTGAGTCAACTCTTCACATGAGGTGGCCAAAGTACTGGAGTTTCAGCTTCATCATCAGTCCTTCCAGTGAACACCCAGGACTGATGTCCTTTAGGATGGACTGGTTGATGAGAAAGTAGGCCTCACTTAATAGTTTAACCAAAAGACAATAGATTTGGGAAGTTAACAAATACGGGATCAAATCTCCATTACTGCTTATTCATTAAGTTTGGGCAAGTACCTTCAACTTTTTGAGTTTATTCATTTTTAACATACTAAGAAATATCTGCTAGTGCTATTAGGAGGAATAAGTAAGATAAAATATGTAAAATTACCAGCACAAGGCTTATCCCTTACTATGTACTCAATATTTCTTCTCCAAGTTCCTTTTTTTTTTTTGAGAGGCTTAT